TGCTTTTTTGTTGACAAGAATATTTCCAAGGTGTCCATCAAATTTAAGAGCCTACTGCCCCTCAAAACCGGTGGGACAGTGCTTAAGCACTATGGTGGAAGATTCTTCATCTAATGTGTGCTCCTCAGGTTGACACTTATCCAGAAAAGTCTTTTTTAGTTTCGAGAATTCTGTCTTTCCAGGAAGGTTTGTACATTCAACCATTTTGCTGTTGAATGTTCATCAAATGAAGCTGCTGCGGCAAGGTCCAGGCCTGGAGCCTGCAGTCTGTGTCTGAGGTGGACATCTGGGCCTGCAGCAGTGTGTGCAAATGGGATTTCTAAAGCAGCTGCTTTGATTGTTTCATCAGCTCCTACAAGAGAGTCTTCTTCCTCAAGAAAACCTCTGTTTATCGAGTTATTCAAGCATGTACCTATCTGCTAGACTGGTAGTGCCTGGAAGCTGACTGGACCCCATGGAACCAGAGGCTGTGATGCTACCAAAATCTTGTGCCTTGGGAAAACCAAAATCCTTAAATGCCTGGAGGTTCACCCAGTGGCACTGATGAAATTTGGTTTCCAGTAGATTTCATTTTATAACTGACCGTACAACTGCATTATACTTAGGGCTGCATTGTCAGTTTAGCCAGCATAATGCACACAGATATCCACATAGGAAAATATGAATAAAACAGTTTTTCCCTGGTTACACCGTGAACTCTTTTATGCAAGATACATGTTCAGCACAGCACTCTCTCATGCAGTAGAGACCTCTGTAAGTCATCTCCTCCCTAATTGCTTTCTGTCACTCAGCACGCAGGATGCTTGGTTTCTCCTGCCCCTCTTCAAAGTGGGGTTGCTGTGGATGATGCTTCCAGTTATTAAGCAGGGACTTGTGCACACACACAGCGTGTCCATGTGAATCTTACTTCTTTCAGAATGCTGTGCTAAATAGCTCACACACCTTCTTGTACTGTCTTGTGAGTATTCCCTTGTAAACTTAGAAGTCCTTAATTTTTCCTGTACGTACAATTGCTATTTGTAAAGCCAAATCTAACATTTTCCCCATGTTTATTCAGACTGAGAATTAATATAAATTTAATCTTCCTCTCTCAACAACCAAACTTAGTCCTAGCTGTGAAGTTTTGGCATTAGATCAGTCACCATTATTAATATGGATCATAATGCTGTGTTGGCAGTGTTTACTACTGTTCTAAACCTTCTCTCTGTTTCACTGTTTTTGCATATAAATTGGATATTTTTGTGTTTTCTTTTTCTGGGGCACACATGTTCTCACTGATACCAGTTTGCATGTGGTTTATTATGAATAGGCCTTAATCCTAATCTCTCATCCCTCAGAGTGGCATTAAAAATGTTAGTTTGTTTATAATCTATTTTTAATTTGTTATCCACCTCTGCTCACTCATACATTTGAAACTTTTGCATGTACATGTGTGCAGTCCTTTGGCACAGATCTGCGGAAATGACCCTAATTTTAGGATGAAAAAACAAAAAACCCCACAAAATATTTCAGGCATTTCCTTCAATGTAGAAAATACACACTCTTCATCTTCTAATATTTTACTACTTTAAAAATGCATATAAATAGCTGTTTAATGAAATGTGTTTGATTTAACCACAGTGCTTGCTGGTTGCTTCCTTTGTTTTCAAGCTCTCCTGGCTCATAACAAAAGGTGGTGTGTTCTGCTGGTACATTTTTCAGATACAGCCGTGGCCCTGTTTCACCACGCAGCTGAATGTGTTTGGGACAAAACTGGCTCTCAGAATTTATTGAAGTCATGCTCTATTGCGGCCTGGGACTTGATCTTATTGGAAAACTAATGCATTTAATTTAGATTTGAAATGTTGTTTGCACACAGTGAGCAGGTAGTCCCACTGTGTTGTTAACTGTCTACATATTTTTGGGTATTGTTCTGTGTTTAAAACAAAACTGACCAAACTGAAAACAAAACCAAGAAAACTGAAATGAAAAAGAGGTGAGTCATCATCCTAATCTTTTGACAGTACTGTACAGAAGATGAGATATATTCTGCCATTTATTAGATAATACTGCATAATTTTCCAGTCTCACACTGATTATAGGAAGGGAAGTGGTTGTAGAAAATGGCAGACTGAATCTCTATCATTTTTTGTAGGGAGTGGGATAACCTTTCTGCTCTCTTGTTCTCTGCCAGTGGACCCCAGCAATTCAAGTACAGTCCAGGGGCTACTGGAGGAAAATTAGATTTTATTGCCTAGGGTCTCAAGGCTTTATCACCTGCAGAAGATAGGGGCCTAAGATTTGAGATTTCATTTAGATAATGACACTAATGAGGAGCAAACACTGAGCCACGTGAAGAGAGCAAGATGCCTGTCTGGCACTCACAGCTTCAGCCTTATCCTAGCATTAAATGCCTGCACTGGGCTAATCCTTTCTTTTTTTTTTTCCTCCTCTCTCATATGCAGTATTCTTTACATAAAGCTCTCTGTGTGCAGTGCACTGCCATTTCTTAAATGCCAGAGCTTTGTGTCCATTAAGAGTGTTCCAGAAGAGTGTCCTGGGGGATGCAGAGCACAGGAAACTTCTCTGCTGATTGCTGAGCTCTTCCCATAAAAAACCAGACCGCAGTAATCATGTAAAGAGCAGTGCTGAAGCTAAGATGTTTTTTTTAGAATTAAAGTTGAAAAATTCTACAATAATATAATAGTGCTCTATTATGGCTCATTTCATATCTCTTTTCAAAAATGAAATCTATGGACTTTCTATCTCAGATTATGACCAACACAGACATAAGAACATATTTGGTGGAAAAATGAAATATGTATTCTTCACTTCTTCTTGTCATTTGTGTGTGTGCATGCTCCAAAAACTTAGTCTTTGATGCATTAGTTGGCTAAAATTGCTGCAGAAAAAGAATTACGTGAAATGGGGTTGCATAGACATGATATGGACTATACAGAAATATCTGAAAAACCAGTGCAAAAGAGAAAAAAATAATAAAAACAGTCCTGTAGTCAGGAAGCTGTTCTGGTCTAAATTCTGCTTCGTATGTTAATCAGTTTAGAGACCTGGGCATTTTTTTCTCTGCCAGCTCACTCCTTCCTTTCTGTGCCGGTGAAATAAGGGAACTGAGGGAATGGCTCAGATATCCAGGGATATTTTCCACCGTGCTGCTGGCCCAGTTTCTGGGCAGTCTGGCTCCTGCTGTGGTCCCGCCTCTTGGGAACCAGGCATCTCTGCTCTCAGTTGCTGGCCTGGGCACTGGGAGTGTTCCTCTGTTTCCAAAAATGACGAATATCAGATGTTTCTTCACAGTGAAATTGTACCAGTAATGAAGATCCTCCCCAGTATATTCATGAATTATTCACCAGATATGTTTACTGGAGCTAATTAAGTGCCAGAAAAGTTGAGCAAAATAAGGCCATAGAAACTCTGAAGTCATGAACCTGCAGCTCAGTGATGTGTGCTGTCATTGCTCTCTGTTATTCTCCATAGCCTGGAAAACAGCCTCGCAGTATTTTGTTGGTGTATCGGGCTTACATGGCAAGGTGTTGGTAGCACCGCAGTGCCCCATGCCAGAGCAGAGCAGCTCCAGCTGCTCCAACAGGGCCCAGCCGTTGCCAGAGAACAACCGCTGCACAGCTGGGAGAGAGGGGGGAGGAACGAGAGAGCAGTGGCCCTGCGGGCACCGAGCTCAGGGCAGGAGGAGGGCAGGAGGTGCTTCAGCAGCTCCATGCAGCCTATGACAGGCCCATGGCAGGCCATCCCCTGGATGGTGTGGCAGCGCATGCGGCCTGAAGGAGATATGGCCGTGGATACCCCTGCAAGCGGGGGACCTGTGTGGAGCAGTGCCTGGAGGGTGAGCTCCATGGTGTGGAGCTGCATTGGAGCGGTCCTGGGACCTATAGGAAGGCCATACTGGATCAGCTGAGGAAGGACAGAAATGGGCAAAATGAGGTGCTATGGACTGACTGCAGCCCACTCTGGGGGAGGTGGTAGAAGAGGATAGATGGGAGAAGGCGTTTTTAGATTGGTGTCAGTTCTGACTGCTTTGTTTTGTTATCGGTGGGCAATAAATCACATTCATCTTTCCTTACTGAGTCTGTTTTGCCTGTATTGGTTATTGGCGAGTGATTTGCCTGTCCTGATCTCAACCTACAGATTTTTTTTTTCACTGTATTTTCTCCCTCTGTCCATTTAAGAAGGAAAAGTGAGAGCAGCACAGTAGAACTGAGCTGCTGGTGTGAAGTCGCTACAGTTGGTGTCACACAGATCAATAATTGCTGTCAGCTGCTGCTGCAAGCAACAAAACCTGGAGAAGCTGGAGGTGATGGGTAGCCTACCTCCAAATTAGGAGTAAGCTGACTTTCATAGAGGTGAAATAAGTTCAGTGGTTGCTGGATGTACAGATTAAATGCGTAATCACTCATGGGTTTCCTAAAGCACGTCAGTTGCCTTAAATTTTGTAACATCCTAAAAAAACTGACAGAGCAGGGTAGCTGCAGAGTAAGGCAGAGTTTAACCGACAAACATTACTCATCTTTGGGGACAGTGGAAGTTATGCTGTGGTGGAGGTGGGGTGGGATCTCCCATGAGAGCAGCCTCAATCCGACGCCTCAGAGGTGCAGTGGATTCCTTCTCCTTTCCTGAAGTTTCTCTCATGGAAAAGAGGATTAAGCTCAAAAAGAAATGTTTCTCTAGCAACAAGAGAGAGCAAAGGTTTCTATTGTAATGGATCAGAGTAAAGCACTTATATGAGTCTACCTCTGCTAGTAGTCTTCACTTCCCTGCCTCCACTCTTCTTGAGAGAAGTGATTCTGAAGCAGAAATTTATGTCCATATAAAATTAACATTTAATTTTTCATCTTCTTTATTAAAAGTCAAGCTGTTGTTTAACGTTTAGACTGTCATACTAATAAAATAGATATTTTCTTTTTCTGTTATGTAAATTGAGAAATAAGTAATATCTGTTCAAAGTGTACTAGTAGCTGAGAAGCACATCCCTTTCTCTGGAAAATATGAATGTACAGCAGAGAACTACGAATATATATTTGCTGCTTTAAATATAGCTAGCTTGCAGAGAAATGTATGGAAGTTATATTGTAAACGAATCTAATGCTTGAACAATGTCTTGGGCATATTGTGAGAAGATCATAACAATGATAATTCTTGCACATTTCCTTTGACATTCTCTGTATGCTAGTTTACATCATCTGAACAGCTGTGTAGGATAGATAGACTTTCTCATAGGAAGAGATGAAAATTGTTAACCCTTCTTTGCAGAAAAAACCGACAGCAAAACTCAGAACAGAAAACAGAAATTCTAAATTCTACTAGTTAACTAATCTAACTGTATGGCTGTGGTTGTATAAAGCAGGAGGTAGTAAAATTAAACCTATTTCCTAAGTGCTTTCGGTAGAGTTGATAAAGAATTTTGGTGCAGGTTTGTCAAGTGTTGCTTCCTTCACAGTGTAAAGCACTGACCTGGCAAAAGTAATGCGAGTGAACCGGAGTATGATGAATATCTTACCCAGGTGCTGTCGGGGTGGTTTGCCACGTATGCAGTGAGAACCTGGCAGTGGGCCTGGCTCTCTGACACCTGCATGGCTGTCACTGGCCAGCCCTTAGGTTTTGCACCTTCTTTGGAAACAATGCTGTGGGAAGGTCAGATTTGCTCATCAGAACTAAAATTATCCTTAAGCCATTGTACTTTAACACTAGGGGTTTTGTTCCAGTGTTTGGTCTTTAAAGATGCTGGGAGCCTTAGGCATGGCACGTAATAGACATGTTGGCTTTGTTAGCTTGCCTCGGTTACTTGAAAACTGAGCCAGAAGGCTTGCTGCCTCCACACACCACAGCTTTTTGTCAAACTGTTGCAGTTAAAGGAGGTGTTACTGGCCCTAAGTAGTCAAAATAATTGCTTCAGTTCTGGGAATAGCCAAGCTATGGTCCTGTGCCACCGATAGCTTTGTGAGCAGGAATAATTTGGACATGCCTTAATGGTGCTGAGCACCCACACTATGTCTGGAAATGTTAATTGCGATTCAGCAGCCAGGTCATTACTTCAAGTGCCAGGTCATTACTTCAGGTGTTTAAGAACAGATTGAAGACATCTGGTTAGTCATTGCCTAAGGGTTGATCTGAGTCACCACGCTCAGGTGTCCGTCTGTCAGTGGGGAAATGAAAAGTTGCCCGTTGTACAGCGTGTTATGAGATGATGTCTCACCCCAGGGTACAGCCTCTCCCATTGCTCTGTTCCAGTTAAATGCTTCCAGAAGCCTGGTAGGACTAAGTGTTCTTGGGGTGTGTGCAGCACACACACAGGCTGTTTGAAGAGCTGAGTGGAGAAACAGTCAAGGAGCATTCTGTGCCAGCAGAGGTGACCATGAGAAGAGCTCAAAGTTTTGCCCCCGACCTTTTGTACAAGTTCAGCAAGGAGATGGGGCTTGATACAGCTTCTTGTCCTCCTTCTTGCTCTGCTCATGGCCCAGGGCTGTTGGGAGGAGCACACTGCCATTGCTGGGCATGCACTGGACCCACTCTGCCTTTCACTGAGAGCAGAGAGGTGCCAGTGGGCTCCCGTGGTTCTGATCTGTGCATTGTTTTCCAGTGTGCTCTTAGGGCAGCAGTGTCTGCGGATGGCTAGCAGTTCCCCAGTGATTTGAGTGTGTTGAGATGTTCCAATGAAAGGTGCCTCCAGGGTTAACTGTTAGCCATTCTCCCTGCCTGCTTACCACAGTGAGATGGTGCATTCTGCAAACAGCACAAAAACCCCTGGCAAACAGAGCGGTGGGAGCATTTGGTAATGGGTAAACTGCAAAAGATCAGAAATAGGGGGTAGCCTTTCTTTAAGTGCTTTGCTTAATGGACTTGCATTTATTTCCTTTCTTGTTGGCCACTGGCAACGCTTTTCTGTCTTTGCCATGGTTATAGCTGCATGTACTTGCTCAGTGAGATTTATTAAAAACTCCTCATTGTGCCCCATCTGGACTGCCATGCTGAGAGATGACCCCTGGTATCTGCAAGCTTCTGCACATCAGCTTACTGCTTTGCTGCTCCTGCCAGTGCAAGGCATGGAAGCGCCTTTTGTCTGCAGTGGGATTGGAAGGAGTCAGCCTTTGTTTCTACAGTTTAACATTTTGAAATTACCGAATATCAGAAAAAATATGCTCAGTATGCAAAAAATACACCAAAAAATGCACTTGCAGAGGCTAAGAAACACTGGATGGCTTAAAGAAATAAAGAAAGAAGTGAAATAGTTCTTTGGTTGCTAGGATGCTTCTTTATCGCTGATAGCAGTGTGATTTGGGGTTTTTTCTCCTTCTAATGTAATTTATTCACTGTGGTTAGAGCACTGCTACACTGTGTTTTGACAATAGGTTTAAGTAAATGAGATAGCTGGCTAGTGCCACGTGAAGGGGGTGTTTGAAGTGCAGATTGGCTCAGGGTTTTCATTTCTCTTTGAAGGAAAGATAATGAAGAGCGTTAGCAATGGAAATTTGTGATTATTGTATATTGAAAATGCCATAAACAGCATTTACTCGGACATTTGTCCCCGGATTTACTCTGCATGATGTGTTTGCAAAGAAGCACTTTGCATCTCTTGCAGCTGAGCAGAGAAGTGTGAATTGATAGCAGATATTTCAGTTAGAGTTAAAGGCACAGGTCGGGGGGTTTATCATCGGGGAAGGAGATAGACGTCTGCTTCTTTGTCTTTTGTATTTTGTGACAAAGGATTCCCCATCTGAATTGCTGCGCTCCATCCGAGCCCCCTCCGAGCCTCTGGTTAGCAGCAGTCAGTCTTTGCAGTGTCCTGACGTCATCTAGTGTATGCATGAGCTATGCTATTGTCTTACCGAGAGCAGGGCTGGGGATTGCAGTATCTGGTGTCCGCTACCTATCTCTGCCCGCCGCTCTCGCGGGAGCGACGCCGGCCTTCCCTTATCTCTTGGATTTAAAACAGAGGCTCCTGCCTTTGGCTGCCCGAAGAAGGACCTTCGCTCTGGGGGCACGTAGAGCTATCTGCAGCGTGGAGCAGAGGAGGGGAGAGGAGGAGAGAGGAGAGGAGGGTCTGGCAGCTTGGATAGCTCGGACTGCATTGTCTGCCTTCATGACCCCTGCTGTGTAGCGATCTCATCCCTGCTTTCATACACTCCCTCTGTCTTCCACTCTTTCTTCTCTCCTTTTTAAAATAGCGGCATCTGGGGCCAGCCATGTTTGGCACCGAATCTTCATGTAAGTAAATGCATCCTGCTCGCATCCTCTTTCTGTTTGAACAGGGCCGGTGGTATTGTTTGCTGCCTGCCGCGGTGCCAGCCTGCTTACAAAGGGATGGGGGATGCAGGAGGGTGGCATCCCCTCCATGTGGCTGCATCCCGGCTGCGGGCTGCCAGAGCACCGAGGGGAAAAGGCAGCCTCCTTGAATGTGTTAATTGATAAGCTCGTCCTAATTGATAAGCTTGTCTGATGGACCTTGGTTGTGAGCACTCCGGTGAACGTGCTGCATGGATGGTACATATAGGGGCTGAGATTGCGGCAGCGTGAGATGGGCTGAAGATGGGAGGGATGGCTTAATGTGACAGAAAAGATGGTCTCGTTGGCTTTGGTTCTGTTTCTGGGAGCAGGGAGGCTGTCTTGGGATCCTTCCTGTGTCTGGGGAATCCAGAATTAAATCAGTTGAGTGGAATGCTAAATACTAGAAGTCGTTCTAAATGTCTAAATCAGTGAAAAATCCAAAAGAATGGCATTGTTTATTTGTTTTGTTGTTGGTTTTTTTTTTTTCCCGATCTCTGTGCTGGAAAATCGTAGCTGAGCTTGCCATGTAACAGCAACACAGACACATGCCTTGGAAAACAAGGAGCTTTTCTTCAATGGGAGCAGCAGTCGGTTCCCTGCAAACCTGGCTGTAGATGCAGCCTAGGGTTTGGGTGGAAGTGGTGGTGCTGGCGCAGCAGTGGGGGGGACCCGTCTTGTCTTATCTGTGATTATCCACAGGCTGAAAAATGCTGCACTGTACTTCATGCCCAAATAACACCGTGTGTTGCAAACCGACCCTGGCACGAAGCAGAGCATCTTCCTGCAGGCGTTGGTGCTGCATCCCCACACCACTGGGCTGGGGCTGCTCTGCAGCTCAACTGCTGCCAGGCAGCTGTGAGAGCGTGGGGAGCCCTGGGGACCCACTCCTGGTGTGAGGCTGGGCTGGGAATGGGCGGCTGCTCCCTCTGCCATGCCGTGCCCAGCCATGGTCGGGCAGAAAAACCTGTGCCCAGTTCCTGTCTGCTTTAGAATGGTTTTTCATGCACTAAACATGCTTGAAGCTCTTGGTCAATGGAGCACGAGCAGAAATACCCATTGTTGTGGCTGCGCCTGTTGATGTTGTGGCTGTATTGATACAAAACAGCCTGTGTGTATGGGGAGGTGTGTGCCTGTGCACACTGCGTATGAGTGTGCGGTGAAGTACAGTCAGTCCTGCACCTGCCCTCCTGCAGGCAGCACATGCTGCAAACTTGGGTAGTCAGGAGTAATGGGTGTTCATTTCCATACTGTTCTCTTGCTTTATGATGTGCACCATTAAATGGTTTGCCTGACACATCTGTATGCAGCCACCAGCATGCTAACTGCCTGTTTCCATGGCTCCCATGTGTATAGATTTAGGGGATGGGAGCTTGTACAGTCACTGTCAGCTTCCTGAGGGTGGTCCAGCAGTGTTCATTCACCTCAGGTACAGTGCAGTGCAAGCAGTTGCAGAAGCTCTGAACCAGGCTGTGCCCTGCCCTTGTCCAAATGTATCTCCGTGCTCAGCTGGGGCACAGTGCAGGGACTGGCGCCAGAGGGGCTCTGTGTTACTGGCAGTGCCCTGACTGCTGCTGCTTGGTCCAGGAACCAGTGGGTCTGAATTCAGAGAAAGAAAATTGAATGGGAACTCTTCTGATCAAAGCGGAGTCAAACTGAACGTTTTTTGGCCTCCCCTCCGCTCCTGTCTTCATGTTCCTGTTGCCGGATGATCAGTGCAGCCATCTGGTTCTTAATATTTCAGTCCTGCCAGAATGGTGCTGGGTCCACCAGGCAGACTTTCACAGTGCTAAAATAAATTCATAAAATTCAGCTTTCTCTGTTCCTTTAAAATCCTACAGGAGCTGTTTCCACAGCTGTTCAAAGAGTGCAAAATGAGCAGATTGCAGTTTGTTCATCCTGCTGGCTTACACGTTGTATTTAGGAATTGATTGGGAATTCTGTCGCTCAGTGACACAGATACTTCAAATGTCAAACACTCCGCAGTTTAGCTTTTGCTTTTTCCTTCTAACAGCACGAGAAGGGCAGCGGGAGATAACGCGAGGGCAGTGCGGAAGCGCAGCCGTGCTTATCGCTGCCTGGGTGCTGGGAAAGACAACGTGGGGCACGGCGGTGTGGCGGGGAGCTGGGACGCGCTGTGCTAGCAGATGCCAGCCCTGCGGCACGCTGCGAGCTGGGAAAGGGCAACGCAGAGCTGTCTGCAGGGAGCTGGGCTGCAGCGCGGCAGCTCCCGTGCGGCCATGCTCAGTGCTTTCCATCAGTCACGTGCCCTCTTTGTCATCCCCACGGGGAACACGTGTGCTGGAAATCGTTCATCCTTGGTGCTTTTGTCCTGACCTCTTCCACGCAGCACGGTGTCAGACACAGCAGCTGGGGGAGGCTGGGGCGATGTGGCTCAGCTGGAGCTCTTGGTGCGATGTAAAGGAATGGGGCAGGCTGTGGTTCAGAGCTCGTACAGCTTACGAAGAGGGAGGCTGGTATGTGGGGCTGCTGTCCTTGGGAAAATGGGTGGCTGAAGGCTGGAGTGGACATACTGGAAAGAATCCATGGAATGGCCACTAAGATGAGGAAGGGACTTGGAGCTTCTCCAGTGATGAGGCTGAGAGAGCCAGACTCTTGTCATTGATGCCCCGTGCCAGGGCAGGAGGCAGCAGGCAAAGTCTGGTTCCCTCTGAACACCTGGAAGAAGCACTTTAGTGTGGTGCTGCAGGTGATGGAGCACTGGTACAGGTTGCCCAGAGGCTGCGCAGTCTCCTCGGAGATGTTTAAAGCCTCCTGGTTGTGGTTCTGGGCAACCTGCTCTGGGTGTCCCTGCTGGAGCAGGTGTTGGGCCACAGGTCCCTACCAACCTCAGCCATTCTGTGTGGAAAGGGATGCCCTGCCCACTTATACTCTTTTCTGCTCTGTCCTTCAGTGTTATTGTTCCTGGGCTATATTTTTTTTTCCCAAACTCCCAGCCAAAATGCATTAAACGGAAAAGGTTGCACTAAGATAATTGATTTTATAGCATCAGGAGTGTCTTGTAAAACTATGTAAGAGCAGCAGTTAGCAACAGAGAAATGAGAAACTTCAGTACTGGGTATTAAGAACAATTTCTTCTACCTTAAAAGATGCAGTCTGTGAAGTGGATGCCCAAGTGCTAGAACGAAGCTCAAGTCTTCAGTTCATTAGCGAGTAGGGTGACTGGGATCCAGCTCCAGAGCTGTACAGTGTGATGGGCATGGGTGCTGCAGTCCTGGGCCAGAGTACCTGCCTCCTTTCACTATCCCAACCCTCAGGAGAGCAGCCAGAATCAACCACTGCTTCAGCCAGTCAGCAGTGACCATGTTAGCTCCTCAGGCGGCTTTGTTGGGTGGTCAGATGTGCAGTGGTCCAAAGGAGGGTGGGACCGTGGAGCTGTTGAAACTCTGCTGGGGCAGCGGCCCTGGGGAGGGTGGGCTCCACCAAACCAGCAGGTCACCAAAAGGCTCCGTTCTTAAACACAAATAGCCAACTGCCATCCTGAATTGCCAGCAGTACAGCAGTAAGTTCACAGTGATGTTTTACTGGTTTTCTTAGGCAACTTTATATAGAAGAGAGGCTACAGAAATTTATCAATTCAAACAAAAAGATTTGATTGTTGAGATTCTGGCTGGTCCCCAGCCAGGAGAGCTTGTCTTGATCTCCCATCAGTCAGGGCAGTCGAAACATTGCAGAATCAGGTCAAAGAGACTGGCTTAGCTACAGCAGCTTCAAATACCAGAGTAAACCTGGATTACGAAAGGGATTGAGATTGTAGGAGTTGTAATAAACTTGATAAATTCAACAGTGAGACTTCAAGATATTTGGAGGGAAACAGTCTCCCCTTCTGCTTTACAAGGGATTTTAAATACTTATTGAATTGTCACTAATTTCTTTAAATAAAGGCTTTTTAAAAAAATAATAACCCTGAGATAAGAGAAGGTCTGTAGTTTATGTAAACTCCATTGCTGTATTACTTCATTAGCTGCCCTAGGTGCTGTCTCGAAGCGCTTGGCTGTGTGTGTGCTCAGGAGGGCTGGAAGCTCAATTTAGCTTTCTCCTCCGACAGTGCCAGTGCGAATTCACTGTGTCGAGCTGTTTTCAAGCATGCAGCTGTTTGAGAAGTTTAACTGTGCGTTGCTGGGGTGAATGGAGACATCTTGCAAGCTAGATTTGACACACTCATTTGACAATCTGAGACCTTCTGGTTCTTGTAGCTATGAATCACCTTTTGTGTCTCATCAGTTTGGAGTTCACAAATATCTGATAAAAGGTTCTGAGTGTGATTCTAACCAGTGCTGCAGTTGTGTCCATGTGAGTTTCTGGAACTGGCAGGAGATCTGAAAGGCAGTGAATGGAGTACCATCTTTCTTCCCCCCATATTGTCTCATTAAAGTTGATCCTTGCCATAGCTAAAATCCTAAGCTATGGTCAGCAGAGGGGCCCATGACTGGCTAAAAGTGATAAGAGTTTTTTTAGATTAAATATGGAAATCATAGAATAATTTCTGTTGGATGGACCAGCACCTCCTTCAGACCAGGAATGATCTCCAGGTTACATCCATCTCAATGGATGTATTATATGGATATTATACCATCTCAATCCATCCGCATGTTTGCAAAATGACAGGAGATCAAAATGAGCTTCAGCTGTGACCAGCTTGATTTACAGAACCAGAAATAAGGATAAATCTTTAAGCCCAAGGGCAGTTGAAAAGCTATTAGAGTCCCTTTGGGCCACGTGACCCAGATAGGAAGTGCAGTACATGTAGTGGGGACTGCAGTGAGCCAGAGTAGAAGCACTGGAGTTTGAGGTGATCTGGGGGGTAACTAATGTCAGTGCCACACTAAAAACCTATTTGCAGAACAGTCTAAGCCTTTTGTTTCCATCTGAGCTAAAATCGCCTGCTGATCACTGAAGCACCAGGGAAGGTCTATGAAGTGCGATGAAGAAAAGAGCACTGTAAATTCAGGGAGATGGAGTGTTCCAAGTTTCAGGATCAACATGTATCTTTCCTGTTTGTTAAAACACTGCTAAAACACCAGTATTTAGACCCTTTCATATGAAGGTCGCTATCTATAGCAAGGACTGAAAGAGGCTTAGAAATGCCATTATGTTCACTATTATAAAGGATAGGATATTGAGCCTCTGTAATAGGGAATAAAGATGTATAACTACAGAGAAAAACATCCAGAATCATGTGTAGCTCAGTGGAAAATTGGCTGGCTGTGTTATGTTTGGCCAACGAGAAGCCTATGCTCAAATTATGATCAAATTATGATGCTCAGAAACCAAGATTCTGTGTGGACCCACATTCTGCCTAGGCCAAGAAATATGCCACTGCTTTCAGCATCATATGGAAAGTATTTTAAGAGTTCCTAAAGCTGTCTGTGGATTTCATTTTGAATTGGCATCTTGAGTTATATCGAGTATTTCAAACAGTACATGGAAATCAGAAGGGAAATTCTTGTGAGACTCTTGGGCAGTGATGCAAAATTAAAGTCTCTTGTGTATGACTTCCTTCAAGAAATATGGTGGCTGAGAAGGTCTTTCCTCAGTGCAGGGAAGTGAAGGATGTGGAATTGGCCCTCAGACAGACAGTGGTTGAGCCAGAAGTAGGAGCTTAGAATGAAAATGTGCAAAACTGGCAGCTTTTTATGAGAAATATGTAGTTGTAGTGGAGACTTTCCACATTTGTGTAGTCCTTAAATAGATTTTCTAGAGAATTGACCGGGCAGGGAAGGGATGAGAGTGATGTGAATGAGCTCTGAAAGAATGTAATTTGTACTCAGAAGGTCTGTAGCCTGAGATGCTCTGGGAAGTTTTGAAGATGACAATATAAAGATTGCCCATCTCCTTTTGCCTCTCATCTTCAGCATGCTACTCATTAGCCCAATGATTTTGCACATACAGTGAGAATGTGATTTCATGTCTCTCATCATACCAGCAAATGCTGGCTTCCATGTTGCTGCTAGAACTGGGTCTTGGAAAGCTGCTGTGAGTGTGCCTTTCCTGCTGCACTCATTTGACTGTGGAAGAACCCATCTTGTGGTGCATCAAGGAAATTTAAGAGGTTGTGTTCTTGATGTTGATGAGTTGTACTTATGAAAGTGCAGCAAAAGGAAAATGTACTCACTCGCATCCTTTAAAGTTCCTGCATGATGGTAGTAGAAAAAGAAGATTGCATATTTTTCACTTTATACGTTGTCTGCATTTTAAAAAATAGCAAGGGACCTTGCTATTATGAGATCACAACTGGAAAGTGAATTATGACACGTACATTGCAGCTCTGTGGAGTGCAGAAAATGGCAGCTGAGTCCACGTGTAAGTTCACTGCTGCAAGATCAGGGAAAACTACCATAAGCAGACAGCAGCATCCCAAGCAGAACCTGAAGTGCATGAATGACTGGCTGTCCAGTACTCAGTCACACCAATTCTGAGAAAGCTTAGCACAAGGAAAATACCACTGGTCGTAAATTAAAGTACAAGTAAGTGTTATTATTAGCAATTCTGAAACATGCTAAAAAGGTGTATTTATCATTCACAAGAGCTGAATGTGGAAGCTGATGTCTTCACTAACCTTTTCTCCTGGCAGCTGCCTTCGTTGCAGGCTCTAGCAAGGCATCCCAGACTTCTCCGTGGTAGCAAACCATGTTGCTGTGTTTGCATAGATGCAATAACCCAACTCAAATTATCCATCTGCTGATAAAATGCTTTCATGCTTTGATTTAAATAATCAAAGGGAATACACTAAATCAGAAATGCAGAATTATCTGGTAAAGAAACTTGTGTGAAGGTCCTATACGGTGCTTTGTCATCCAGAAAGAAATGAAACCAAGCAGTTCATCTAAAATGGCCTAGATATTTCATAGGCGGCTGGTGGAGGGCAAGGTCTGTGAGAGGGTTAACTAAGCTGGGGGAAGTGTTCCTGTAGCTCAGCAGCATGTATCAGCATGGTTATTCTCTGCTTGCGTGGTCCACAGTGATAACGCAGATAAGCTGTTATTATTATGTATGGAGCGTGATAATCAGTCTTCCTCTGCAGATGGATGGAAAAAAGCTCCAAGTGGTGGAAATAAGCAGCCAGATAAAAAGCAGCAAGATCTGAGCTGCAGGGCTCTCATTCAGGAGTGGAAGTTCCCCCAGGAAACCTCCCATGCATTGTGAGACTTCATGCATTCAGATTATATGAAGGAAATAGGGGAATATAGTGTCCTTTTTAACAAGCAGAAATGTGGTTTCTGTGACCGTAAAACTGGGAGCATACTCCTGACTTACTAGTGAGTTCATTTTGAGGCCTCAGGCCTCAGCTAGAATGTAAGGACAGTACAAGGAGACAGCACCAGGATAAAGGAATCCTCAAGCTTGTAAGATAAGACATTGGTATGAAGGGATAGGATAGCATGCATCCTCAGCAAATTTGATGATAGTACAAGGCTGGGAGGAGTGGCTGCCACGCCTGAAGGCTGTGCTGCCACTCAGTGAGACCTGGAGAGGCTGGGAAGTTGGGCAGAGAGGAAAATGATGAGATTCAACAAGGGCAAGTGTAGAGTTCTACACCGAAGGAGACATAACCACGTGCAGCAAGCAGTACAGTTTAGGAGATGACAGGAGCTGCTGCGGAATGGGAACACTGCAGAGGACCCGTGTGTCCTGATGGACGACAGGTTGGCTGTGAGCCAGCAGTGTGCCCTTGTGCTGTGGTGCATTGAAAAGAGCATGGTTAGCAGGTTGAGGGAGGTGATCCTTCCCCTCTACTGTGCTGTGATGGGGCCACATCTGGAGTACTGTGTCCAGTTCTGGGCTTCCCAGTTCATGAAAGATGGGGAACTACTGAAGAGAATCCAGCATAGGGCCACAAAGATGATAAGGGGCCTGGAGAACCTCCCTTATGAGGAAAGGCTGAGAGACCTGGGACTGTCCTGCTTGGAAAAGACTGAGGGGAACTCAAACATATCTGAAGGGCAGGAATCAAGTAGGTGAGTCAGGCTCTTTTTAGTGGTGCATAGTGACAGCACAAGGGGCAACAGGTGCAAACTGGGAGTTCCATCTGAACATGAGAAAGAACTCTTTTACTGTGTGGGTGACAGGGCACTGGCACAGGCTGCCCAGAAGAGAAGCTGTGGAGTCTCTTTCTCTGAAGATACTCAGAATCCACCTGGATGCTTTTCTGTGCACCCTGCTGTAGGGAACCTGCTGTAGCAGAGAGTTGGACTAGGTAATCTCAGGAAGTCCCTTCCAACCCACATAATTCTGTGATTCTCTAGCATCATCTTTAATATCATTTACAGTTGCCATGCTGTAGTGGGGCTACTGCATGTTACCCTGCCTGTAGGGGTACAATAGCTGCAATGATAGGAGATTTAATTACCTGCCCAGGAGCAATCTCAGTAGCTATACATATTTATATACTGTATTATTTTGTACATAAGTATTTACACATATTACTATGCTAGGATATACCTGCATGCCACAGAAGGTGTTCTTGCTCTGGGCATTGTGAATCACAGCCTGCAGTGACCCTTTCTGATGCAAACAGACATTAGGTTGGTTGTTTTGGGGCATTGCATTTGTGCTAATGACTTACAGTCTCTGTGGGTCTTGGCTGCATTTCAGCAATGAATGAAGCCGTAGATTCAAAATCAGTGCCCTGTGCTGCAGGAGTTTTGAGCTACGTGTCTGGTGTTTAGCTGTGCTTTGTCTTGTTTGTCTCTAGCAATGTTCAGTTAATTCTTGCATAAAATAAAGTGCATATAAATAGTCACACAGAACTATGCAAAAGGACAAGAAGAAAAGGCACATGTTGGGGCTTGCCATCCTCAATAGTATTCCCTTAAACATCCACACTTCCCTGGGGGTACAAAGCGATGTGCGTCTGTAATCCAGGCTGTCAGTGCAGTCACTGTCCTTGCACAGCGAGGTACAGCTTGCAGCAGCTCATGTCTGCAGTCTAACAGTAAATGCACGTTCTCAGTTTTTTCAGAAAAATATTATTTCAGAAATCTGCATTTTCAGCTATTCTCCTTCTGTTCACTGACAAGCTGTACTGTAATTCTGATTTGATTTATTTGATTGAGAAAGAAAGACATGGCTTTGTCATAGAATGACTTGAGTTGAAAGGGATCTTAAAGACCACCCAGCCCCAGCCTCATGCCGTGAGCATGGCTGCCACCCACCAACTCAGGCTGCCAGGGCTCCATTCAACCTGCATTGAGTGCCTCCAGGGATGGGGCATCCACAGCTTCCATGGGGCATTTGTGCCACTGCCTCACCGCCCTCTGAGTAAAGGATTTCCCCCTAATATATAATCTAAATCTCCTCTCTTTTAATTTAAAACCACTCGCCCTCATCCTGTCATTATCTGCCCATTTCAGTCTCGCTGTTTATAAGCCCCCTTGAGGTACTGGAAGGCCGCAGTGAGGTCTCTCTCCCCAGAGCCTTCTCTTCTCCAGGCTGAACAACCTCAGCTGCTTCAGCATTTCTTCACATGACATTGAACAATCTAACTGTGGGCAAAGGTGTTCAGAAAGTTTTTATTTACATATGTATTATATATATGCATATATATATATATTACTTTGTAAGCTGTTGTGAGTAATAATTATAACTGCCTTCTTTGTAAATCAAGCGTTGTCAAACAGGCTGAGTGACCAAAGCTAAGAAGACAGCTTTTTCCTAAGCATAGGAAGAGTCTGAAGCCATCTCTCTATATGGCCTATATTGCTGCCATGAAACTGTACTCTCACTGCTTCCCTCCATGAACTGGAAATTCAGTACCCTGGTACCATATCTAGTTTTCCAGCATTAAATTTGCTTTCATTCTTTTGCAAGGAGATTGGATCTATGAGCCGAAGTAGAGTTAGCTTCCTTTTTCTTTATAAAGTTGCTTTTTCCAAGGACTCATACCTAAGCCCGAGGGAACTGAACTTTTATCTGGTTGCCCCTCTTTAATTGATTTCACATCAGTTATTGCAGGATGTCCAAAACTAAGCCAGTGACAGCAGTTGGCATATGGTAGGAGTCACTGCAGCCAAGTCTCAGAATTGTCCATTTGCAGCTGTTCCCCTTCTCTTTGGGAACACCATGTCAATATGGTACTGAGCAGTGAAAGACTTATCCCAAATGGATGTCAAAACCTTTTATTCGGGGCTCTTAAGAGCTGAGACTGGTTGATGAGATTAGCCTTTTCTGTGAGTACTCTTCTCAGAAATTGTAGGTGATCCCTTAGAAGATTTATCTGTAAATGTCCTGTCTCAGGTTTAAATAAAATTGTGATTTTTTTTAAAAACAAGGTTAATTAAGCCAGCACAAAAAAAAACAAAAAAAAACCAAACTACACAGATTCTCAAGAAGGACTACACTGAGTTAACTACGTGCAAGTTTAAGGTTAATTGTAGTAAACTTTCTTAGAAAATAGGATGTCTGTGAAATACATTGCATAAAAATCTGAGTTCGGACAGGTCAGAAAGTACTTTAAAGCAATATTTGTGTAAAAATGATGAGGTGATTTCTTGTTTTTGTTTTAATATCTATCATAGCGCTTTTTATAGCTTTCAGAAACCTGAAATATCATTTTGTTTGTCATAATCATAGATTTAGCAAGCTTGGAAAAGAACGCCAAAATCACCCAGTCCAACTGTCCACCTACCACCACTATAACTCCACTAAACCATGTCCCTCTGTACAGCAGTTAAATGTTTCTTGTACTCCTCCAGGGATGGCGACTCAGCCACCTCCATGGGCACCAATCTCAGTTTTCTTAACATGCATGAGAATGATAAGGGGTTTGAAGTTCACATCTGCCGAAGAGGAGCTGCCATTTCCAAACATAACAAAGGAGTAACTTTATTTTCTTTGATGTTGTTGTCATGCTATCAGCCCTTTGGTGATGTTTCTGCAAAGCTAGTGTTATATTTTTGAAAGACACCAAGAAAATGGCTACTGGCTTTTAATTGCCCTGCCAGTAAATTTGGCCATGCTTCCCTAAAATGCTGGGTTGGAGGGAGGCCTGGGTATATTTTATTGATCCGCAGTGGCTGAGCATTAGCAATGAGAGCATGAGGTGGGCAGAGCCTTCTTAAATGTATGACATCATTATCTGCAGTAGTTCAGCATTTAAGCCATTGCCCATGATGGTATAAAAGCTTGTCTTTTCGCCAAGTGCCCTGCTAGATATATTCTAGTTTGGATCTAACAATTAAACTTCAGCTGGTTTTGAGATTTTTACAAAAACAGAAATAGAATATGGTGTGTACTGTGAACTGTTGCAAAATCAGGTTTTGGCTAGATGGTTCATCTGTGGAGGTTGAAATAAACTGAAGAACAGTTGGAAGCTTGAAGGAGGAGGCTGGGTCAACTTATTTCTTGAGCAGCTAAATCTGGGAAGTGTGATGTGCTAGAGGAGAGAAGGAAGTCTTATAACATGGAAGATCCTGGAATTCTCAAATTTTGTGTCATTTTTTTTTTTTTAGATGTAAGTATATAAATG